CAGATCCTATAGAATATTCTGCTGTACTTGTATATTCGCAATATCATGTTACATATACATATTATATATCTATAGAATGTTATATACAAAATGTAGCCTTTAAGTAATAAGGCAAATTAAGATAAATATAACATTTTAGGACACAATTGATTGCTCGAGAAGTGTGTTTTCATCTTTCTAGAAACACAAAAGCTGAATAAGGAATAATTTCTACCCCGGGGCTGAGAACTTCAGCCCTGGGTGTGAACAAGCGGTTAAAAGCCCACGAATAGCAAATTCGCATTTTGTTTTCACTCACATGCGTAAATGGCACAACTGCGCATGTTTGAATAACTTCAGCCCTGGGTTGAAACAATTACATGACAAATTTTTCAGTCTCAGGGCTAGTTTTACCCCAAGATTGAGATTTCAGGTCGGCCAGCTCGGATGAAATTTCAACCCCGTGGCTGAATTCATCCCCGGGGCTGAAAATTTGTCATGTAATCGCGCATTCTATCTCATAGGATATTAATAGTTATAAAGGGCTGAAATTTCATCCCGGTCAGCAGGGCTGAATTCAACCCGGGTGTTGAGTATTTGTTTAGTATTCATTTCGATTTCGTATTATTTCCATTTCCCCAAAATACCCAGGTGTAATTTCAAAGCTCCCGGAGGAGTAAGTGCACATGCACACAAGGCGCTTCTATTAGGGCCAGCTTGAAGAATAAATTTCACTGTTATTGACGGAACTTCATATAAACTTTTAAACGTTCTTGCGGGATATCGTATCGTATCCTACTGCCTTTAATGCTTTCATTAGGTTACGCGTTATAGAATTAGTTGTTTGTATGAGCTAAAATGTGGCATTTTTAATAGTTTAGTTGATCAGAATATAATTTAGGAAATCCTAGCTTAGAATATATTGTTACTTCTTTGGAAAAACCTTCAGTGCATTTCAAATTTAAATCTGAATTCTGACATCAAAAATATGAAAGTGACAGAAATTAAGTCGAAATTGATTAAAAATTCATTTACTTGGACGTGCTACAGAGGTTCTAATTTAATGACAACTTGTCAAATTAAAAACCAAAGCTGCATAGCCGAGGCCTTTGACTTGTATTGACTGACGCACGTCTCATATCATGCCTACTTTTCTTAATCTAACAAACAAAAATTAAAATAAATTCTCTCAAATAGTCCCGAATTGTTCAAAATTGAATTCTGAATTATTATGTTTTACTTGCCAATATTTGTCGTTAAATGAATTTATAAAGATAAAACAATTTGCAAATGTCGGCATAGAAAAGTAATGAAACCTTTTATGATTATAATAAACCATGTCACTTTGGAAATGTAAGGGCAGGTGATCATTCATATTTTGTCTCGTTCATCTGCAGCATATAATCTACTGTGGACTTAAGAGTACTTCGCACACACGTAATATTATCAGATCGCAATCAACTCTTTTCGTCGCACTCCTTTTTATGTGCAACTACATCAAGTGAGTAACAATGAATATCGTTGCGATCCATTTTTTGTTGATGAAGAGTTTTGTTGATTTAATCACAGCAGAACAATCCCAGCCACGATTATACTCCAAAGGAAAATACGCTACTTTCAAGATTGTATCAAAATATGGTGAGTATGACATTTTGATGAATACAAAAGATTTTGTAAATTGGTTACCTATGTAATGCGTTTGTCCCACGCCTAAATATTTAGACTTTTTGCATTTCACGCCTGAGTCTCTTTTTATGACGAAATATTTTTGCGAATATTATTTATATTGTACGAAATCTAGGTTTTACCAAAACAATTCACCTATGGCTGTGTACTTTCCCTCATGCAGTATTTTTCGACAAAATGTTTCCCTGGGTGGTTTGGTAATCTTACAGTTGTCTTTTGACGGTGCCACACAGGCGAAATTTAGACTTGGAAGGATGTATTTCAAGCATAATATATCTGTTACATGATATGTCATTTCGTTGAAACCTAATCAATTATTTATAGGGGCGGGGCACATTAAAATTTTGTTTGTTCATCATTATATTCACTATATGCTCCTATAACGGTGTAACGCTGAGTGACATCTGCACGCTTGTAGTTTGGTTAAAGCATCTTTTTCGGATTGAGCGATAATATAAATTTCTGATCTCATTTTACTGACTTTTAACGTTTTAAACTAGCCGGCCGGGGAAGCCATGCCTAGGGCTTTCTCGGCCCAGCTTTCTTTGCGCTTCGGATTTAATTATGAGTTTAATTTTGTTCCGAAGCCGTCACCGTTATACTGTTATAGAGTCATGCTGTATAATTATTAACATTAGCCGCCTTTGATACTCATGGCGAGAAATTTTGGACACGCACGCGCGGTAGATACACAGACTTCGGGAGATTCGAAACAATATGGCCACGCGAAATTACACGGCTTTATTAGGGTTATATTAAAAATGTGGCCTTACCTCTAAACTTTTTAAAAATGTGAAAATGTTCTATCTGATTCTGTTTTTAGACGTAAAACTTGATATTTTGATATCATGGATGATATTTAGATGTTAATACTTCTTGCGGTTTTGCAGGAAATAGCCAACGGCTATTAAAGTATAGAAAAACACCATTTATAGCCTCGAAAGTTGTTTTGACCGTTGAACTTGTAAGCTTTTCGCGCGATCGGGCCACGATTACCAAAATGTTCTATCGGTTTTCTAAACTCTGAAGGCCCTGTCACACTGTTGCGTATCACATTAGCGTATGGCACCGTGTGATAAATATCACGCATACGCCGGAATACGCTGAAATATGCTGGTGGTACGTCGTGCGTAAGTTATACACGTTCCAAGCACGGTCACATACGCTGGTATACGCCGAGGAAGAAAATTTTTTTTAAGCATGCTTAAAAATCTTGTGCGTGTTTGGACGTATGGTTTATACGGTAAAGATAAGCTAGTCATACGCTGAATACGGCAGAAGGACGCTAAATGTACTGTACTAATAGGTTGAGTACGCTAATCATACGCAAATGAGTAAGTGTGCCGTACAACTAACGTGTTGATAGCGCATCAGTAACGAAGGTCTAACTTATGTGTGACGTATGTTTAACGTCTATAGAGGGCTTAGCGTATGACTGACGATTAAGTAACGCATTTACCGTACAATTAGTGTATATTTAACGCCTGGTCGTCGTATCCTCAGAGTATTGCAAACGTTACGAGGAAGGGTATATAAATATATAGCATGTCATTTATTGTGTATAATATATATTTATGTTGGATGCCTTCATATCATCTTGTACCTTCGAGGATAAAGGATGGAGTTAGCTGTTCTTGAATACCAGTTTGATCTCATAGCTTTGACGATTCGTCACATAGAAAATAACAGAAGGAAAAGGAGAAAAGGAAAAAGAAAAAGACGTGAGGTATGGAAGAGATCATGGATCGGAAGGCGAAGGCAGTTCATTTACGACCAACTTCTGGTGGAACTTCGAAGCGAGGATACGCGATGTTTTAAGAACTTTATGCGGATGGTCCCCGAGATGTTTGATGAGCTTCTGGCAAGAGTGAGTCCCAGGATCACCAAGAAACATACCTAGTATAGGCGACCCCTGGAGCCTGGGCTGAAGCTCTCTTTGACTTTGCGAAACCTTGCCTCTGGGAGCACGTATTCAGCCATGAAGTACGGATGGAGGGTCCCCCACAACACCCAGTCACTTATTGTCAGAGAAGTTTGCCAAGCAATCATCGACGAAGTCCGAAGTAATGACCTGCCCTACCACGCCAGAGGGATGGCGTGCCATATCTGATAAGTTCCTCAATAGGTGGAACTTCCCCCATACATGTGGTGCTATAGATGGAAAGCACATTACCTGCAAGTGTCCACCAAAAAGTGGATCCCAATATTTCAACTACAAGGGATTCTACTCTGTTGTACTCATGGGCCTTGTAGACGCAGATTATAAATTCATCTAGGCAGACCTCCGTGGTAAAGGGTCATCATCGGACGCACAGATCTACAACAACTCTGAAATCAAAGAATTAACAGAAGACGGAACTATAGGATCCCCCATCCCCGATGCTTTACCAAATGACTATCAGAGTGTCCCCTACTTCTTTGTAGGTGATGATGCCTTTGCCCTCCGAGAGACAATGATGAAGCCATACAGCCGCCGTGGTCTATAGTCAATACTTCTTTCACGTTGGTGGTTGAAGGTTGAGAACCTCATCCTGAAATCCAATATCATCAGTAGATTCCATGATGTCTCGAAATCCTGAAAGACTAGTAATGTTCGGGTGACTTTGCTCAAAGGCTGAGCTTGGACTGTGCGGCGTTGGGCTAGACGTTTCCGTTATTAACTCTGTTGCAGAAGCCAAAGAGGCACGAACCGGGCCAGAGGTAGGAGTGCATTGTTGCTGAGTTTGCTGAAACGGTTGCTGAGCAAGTTGTTGGGAAGGAGGAATCATCTGCTGTTGTTTAGTGGTAGTCTTGTGATGATGTGGATACTGAAATAACCGCTGGTGAAACTGCTGCATGTACTCCATGGACTGAGAGCCTCTCACCAACGATGCCAGGGGCATGTTTATAGGCATGTTGCTAGGTTTCTGATAATGCTCAGAGAAGGATGGTGCTGATGCTCTAAATGAACAGAAGGGAATACTTGTAGTAGGGTGCAAATCGTGGGGTGGTTGAGAAGGGATCTCTTGTTGGTTTACTTTGATAGATGGAGCCGCCATTGCACTTGGAAATTCATCATCGCTGTCCTCATCCATGAGTTCAGACAATAACCTATTGATGGAGGACCTTGCCTTCTTGTACTTGGACTTGGACATAGTCAAAAGGCTCTCTTTAACATAATTTGCAAAGACACTTCGTGCTGTAATGGGCTGTTGTTTGGCTTTGTAGATGTATTTGAGGATGGTGCCAGACTCAGCAACTCTCTTCTGTAGAGTCTCAAGGACGTCACTCTCTGTGTCCTGAGGTCGCTTGTGGGACCTTCCAGCGGTAGATGATGGTATTGGAGTGACTTCATCTTAGACATCCTGCATATCAGCGCAGGCGCTCTCGGCAGCATTGAGATCTCCTCTGTGAAGCTGGATGGTTTCCTTCACCTAAAAAGACCAAAAATATCATGTGGAAATTGTCTCAAATTACTTGGTTATCATGTTGCTAAGGTAATATGGTTGTATACTTACACTCTGCATGGGCTCCGGTCGGTGGCGAGTGACAGTCTTCAGGAAGGCAAACTTTGAGAGGATCCACTGTTCTCTCTTAGTCAGGTTTGGAGCACTATCCCCGCTTTTCTTCTTGTCAAGGCGTATATTGGTGTCGCGCAACGATCTGAACCAGCCCTTGAGGATGTCAACAGTCTTATTCATCTGATGTGCTTGCTCTTCCCAGATCTTCTCTTTCTTGTCTTTTCGCCTATAATCTGTCATCTTCACATTCCACAGCACAGGATTGTCCATGATAAACTCCAGCATCAGCTCCTCTTCTGTGGCGCTGAGGTTGTAGGGGGTTTTTTTTCGCCCTCTTCCTCTAATTTTCTTCTTGCTATCAGCCCGCCGGAAGGAGGTGAAGTCATCAATGGTTTCAGATGATAAAGCCGATGAATTATGGGAGTCTTGGGAAGGTTGTGTTGGGGACTTTGAGAGCTCAGGAACATGTGGCGCATTATTTAAAGATGTCTCAGGAATAAGTGCATCTTCATCAGGTGGTTCAACTACATCTGCAGGTGCACAAACACGTTGTTCGTCAGCTTTGGCAACGGCTGATGATGGAGTCCTCTTTCCTTTTCTTCGTCCGCGGGTAGATGATGTCTTCTTATTTGCCATGGTGTCTTCTTCTTTTTTCACTGTAGGTTTGACATTTTCTCGAATGGAGCCGTGTGAAAATACTGCCGCTTACATACGATTAAAGTCTGTGAAACGCCAGTGGTATGCTTGACATGCGCATTCCAAACGCTTCTCGTAAGCTGTTCATACGCTGGCATACGCCAGCGACAGGCTACTCTTACGATACCCATACGTTTAATAAGTTAATTTTATGCAAAATGTCTATTTTTACGGACTTTTTCGTGCGTATAAAAAAGAATGAAATGATCTTTATACGCGACTCATACGTTCCTATCATACGCAACAGTGTGACAGGGCCTTGAGCGATGATTTTGAACACCCATCAGTGCAAAAATGTGAAGAATATATATCTCTTGCGGTTTTTAGCTTCAAAATCAGCAAATTTCAACGTTATATTTTCATCAAGACTGACCTTTTTCCCCAAAAAACTCTTCAAAAAATAACTGAAATTGTTTTTCATCGTCCATATTTGCTAGGCAACCAAGCCTTGACTTGTTGCCATGGTTTTAAGGCATATTCGAACTTTTTTTGTCGCATTTTAGGCTATTTAGAATGTGATATATCGTGTGTATTTCACTTGTGATTCGTTAGAATAAATTAGAACAATTTATTCGTTAGAATAAATTAGAACCCCTCTGTGCGTGTCCAAAATTTCTCGCCATATTTAATAAAGAAACGCTAAATTTCCGGTTTGTGAAAAATAAGGCATGCTTTGGACTGTGATCTTATAGTACGTTTATACACTTGAGATTTCTGCTGCGATTTTATGTGCGATTTTCTTCTTTTGATAGACGTGTGAACGAGTAATAAGTTACGAATGCACTGTCACCGATGTGTACGAGTTCCTATTTGAACATCCGTAACTAATTGACTCCTTCACATCTTTCAAAAGAAAATCGCACATAAAATCGAAAGTGTAAACTGGCCTTTAATACCCTTTGGAAAATCAAACTATATCGAGTTAAGTGCCACAAATTCGCAACTGATTAACGCTAACTGATCAGAAAATACGACTTCACTATTTTTATTAATTGATATTTCACCTACTAAAACTAACGTGCATGCCCATCAACGATCAGTAGCAGTAAATCTTCTTTTAACGTTTTGAATTTAATCTGCTCTATTTTTTACCTTCCAACTAAGAAGATTCCCATTTTAATATTGAAAGTTCGCCATAATATGAAAAATCTTATAAAAAGGGTTTAGTCTTTAGAACTTTTCAATCTTTGCGAGACATGAATTTGAAACAAAGAAGCATACCAATGATATACAAATTAGATACGGGGCCATTAAAGCACCCCGGGTCTCAGGTATTTTTCCTCCATGCTCCCCTTACTCTACATAGCTAAGTTACAGAGGAACTTTAGTAGTACCTACGAGTAGGACAACAAGTACAAGATTTGTCATTTTTACGCCATTAGCCAAAACTCGTATTCATCGAACTTGTTGGTAAATTTTGCACTCGAAAGCCCTGGAGTTTCGTCATGTAGCGCGGGCATAAACACAGAGCTAGGCTGACCACCGACCAGTCCTGTTGAAGGGCATCTGAGACGAGGGCTAACGGGTCCGGCCTCCAACTGAAGAACTGGGGTAGCTGCGAGTTCAGACGATCGGCAAAAAGATCGATCATACAAGGCCCTCGAATCCGCATCAGGGAGCTGAAGATCTCCGGGCAAAGCTTCCAGTTGCTCGAATCTAGGAAATTGCGTGACTCCCAATCGGCCGAGATGTTCAGAGATCCCGCAAGGTGTTCGGCACTGAGGAAAATGTTGCGTGCCAAAGCCCATTCCCAAAGAGCTAGGGCAAGGTTGGAGAGGACTAATGACCGTGTTCCTCCGAGGCGGTTGAGGTACGCCACTGCAGAAGTATTGTCCATACGCAGGCGTACATGAACACAAACGGTCTTTCACAAAGCTCTTGACCGCAAACGAACCGGCCAGAAGTTCCAGACAGTTGATGTGGAATTTCCTCTCCATCTGGGACCACAAACCGCCTGTTCTGACTCCCTGACAAACAGCGCCCCAACCCAACCGAGATGCATCGGTCTCGATTACGACATCCGGGGACGGGTGAAGAAGCGCCCGTCCGTTCCAGGCGTCCAAATGTGCTAGCCACCATCGAATTTCGTCCGTTGCCTCCAAGGAAAGAGCTATTCTCGAGTCGAAATTCCCTTGTTGGGCTAGAGCTTTGTGTTTCAAGCGTTGCAAGTGGCGATAATGCAATGGGGCCGGAAAAACGGCCTGTATTGAGACCGTTAACTTGCCTATCAACTGGGATAACTCCCTCACTGAAACATCTTGCTGCGAAAGAAGAGTGGAGCAAATCTCTCTGATTGACATTACCTTGCAATCTGGTAGGAGCAGAGTCATACCCCGGGAATTCACGAAAAATCCGAGAAATTCTATTTGTTGTGTTGGTTGGAAACACGATTTCTCGGGGTTTATTACAAACGCAAGGTTCTCTAATAGATACTGAGCTGTAATCATGTCTTGTTGTAGACCCTTTTTGGACGTGTTCATAAAGAGAATGTCGTCCAAATAAATTATCAATCGAACACCGGATCTCTGCAGAAGTGCCACAACTGGCTTCATGATCTTTGTAAACACCCTGGGGGCTACAGCTAGACCGAACGGAAGGCATGTGAACTCCAGGAGAGAGTTTTTCCAAACAAAGCGAAGATACTTCCTGTGGTTCCTCCAAATGGGAATCACAAAGTACGCATCCTTCAGATCGATCTTGAACAGCCAATCGTTTGGCTGGAGTAAGTCGCGCAAGAGATGGATCCCTTCCATTTTGAAGTGATCGTACTGAAGAAACACATTTAGATCTTTTAAATTGATAACAGGACGAGAATTTCCGTCGCGTTTTGGAACTAGAAATATACTGCTTACAAATTGGTCGGGAAATGGACCGGTAACGTGTAAAGCTCCTTTTTCCTGAAAAAGAGCTATCTCGGAGTCGACCTTCTCTGACTCTAGCTGAGAAAAAACCAAAGGTGCCTTGGCCCTGGTTTGAATTGGCGGGGCCGTAAAGGGGAGTTTGTAGCCCGACACCGTGTCTAGAATCTCCGGATCTAGAGTTATTTGCCTCCAGTTGAGAAGAAAATGAACCAGCCGTCCTGCGAGCTTTGCTGGAGGAGCAATTGATCGAAAATCTATCTTTAAACGACTCGAAGGCAGTACGTTTACCTGCGAGTCCAGTTCCCGAGCCTTTTGTAAGGCGGGTACATGCAACATTGGTTGGACTTTTGCAATACCTGTTAGATTTTGTTCTCTGCCGGACGTGCGAACTGATGGCTTTTTCCCCGACGATACGAGTGCTGGCCTCCACGGTTTGAGAATCTCTGGCCCCACGGGCGAGTATTGAGAGGAGAGAAGATCTAATGAATCCGAAGAAATTTTTGCCAAAAGCCCTTTTCGGCGATCAGCGAGAGCACAAAAGCTCGCATTCCCGGTCAAAGCAACGGCACGTTGAACCAGCTCGACCACTTCAGCCGGATCCAAACCCGTTTTACTTTGCTCAGCTAAAAGGGCTTTTTGCCAAAGCTGGGCTAAAGGCCCAAGAGGATCCAAAATACGCCCGGCAATGTTCATTTGACGTCGATCCATGACCGGGTTAAAAGGCGTACCGTTTCTTTTTAGGTATTTTTTAACAAAAGAGTCACCTTTTTTCGGCCGTAAATCAGCATGATGAGGCATTGGCGTATCTTTCAAAAGGTCTTTACGAGCGTTCTTAGAAAGGCCGTTAAAAGCAGCCTCCGCTGCGAAATCAACTATTGAGGTGTCAAGGGAATAGTCAAGTTCCCCAGAAGTGCTCGCGATTTGACATGAAGAGTTCTTTTGGCGGGACGAAAAGTCCGATTCAGTATCAGAGCTACTGCTCGTGCTCGAGGAACTTTCACTCGATCCTGAAGTGGAGTACGACCGCGAAAACTTACTTCGCTTACTCCTAGCCTTTTTTGACGAATGTTTGTGCTTTTTATGAGACGAATGTCTCCGTTTTGTTGTCGAAGCCGAAGGGCTCTGAGACACGGTTTTACTCGGCCGGTCAGCCGGCGTTTTTTCTCGCGACACAGCTCGCGGAGCACTCTCAGTTTCCACAGAAACAATTTCCATAGTGGCCTGAGCCATCTATAAAGCACAATATTTATAAATAACCACGACAATAGACTCAAATGCGAAAGGTAGTCCTTAGAGCGACAAAATATCAACCGTTTTCAGTGAGCTGTTGAAGAACTGAAGAGTTGGTTGCTAGGAGACGGTGTAAACATAGCTAGTGACGTTTATTTTAGTACCTAGTCCTTCATCAGCTGTATTCGGTGTTTTGATAAGAATAAAGCATTGTTATATCGAACTTCTGTGTTCGAAATATATTCGGCTCCCCAGAGCGGGTTGGCAAAATGGACTTTGCCCAGTACGTCATCTGCCTCGCCAAATGTCCAAAAATTATTTTGGTTATTTAATATAACCAAATTAAATAATGTCGGCAAAGTGGTTATTTAATATATAACCAAAATTGATAGTGTCGGTGAAGGTGGTTATTTGATATAACCAATTTAAATCATGTGTACGAAATCTGGTTATTTGATATAACCAATTTATATTTTGTGCATCAAAACAGGTTATTTGATATAACCAATTTATATTTTGTATACAAAAACTGGTTATTTGATATAACCAAAGTGTATTATTGGTTATTTAGTATAACCAAATAAATCAATAAAAAAACAACCCTAAAACCGATAAATAATAAAAACACATTTGGCGCCCCATATTTGATAGGAGTTAATTCACCATTCAAAATCCAGAAGACATTGAATTGTGTATTATTAGACAAATAAAAATTTTTCGAACAACTTTTTTATTTTCAGGCAACTCATTGGCATCAAGGGATATTGCATCAAATCATACTGTGCATTCTAAGATGGAGTGTTCTTGGAAATGCCTGGAAGAGAAAATGTGCCTTGGTTTCAACTACAG